TCCCCCAATACTCCGTGACATCGGGGCCCTGGTGGAGGAGAGCAAAAAGGTGGCTAGAACCTCCTTACAGGCCTCCCTCGACATTGCGGACTCGGCCGCCAGGACACTAGCGTCAGGGATAGCCATGTGACGTGTCTCCTGGCTCCAGGTTTCGGGGTTGCCACCAGAACTACAGCAGACCCTGCAGGATCTGCCGTATGACGGCCAAGGCTCGTTCTCCGAAAAGACGGACTCTAGATTACAGAGCCTCAAGGACTCGAGAACCATGATGCGCTCCCTGGGGATGCATGTCCCAGGACCCCAACGCAGGCCATTTAGGCCCCAACCGCAAAGGTTCTACCCTCCTCCTCCTCGTCCGAGACAGGACTTCCCCAGACAGCTGGGACGAGGTGGTAGACGGAGATCGACTGGCCCTCAGCAGGGTCAGAATCAGGGCCCACCTAGGCCGCCTTCTGGCCCTAGGCAAGACTTTTGAAGCTGTGCCCGAGGACGGCGCACCAGCCACTACCCAGGATCCATTTCCTTCCTTTCGGGGTCACCTCTCCCGTTTCCACCGTGCTTGGTCCCTTATAACTTCGGACTCTTGGGTCCTTCGCACGGTAGAGAGGGGATACACTCTCCAGTTTTCTTCTTCCCCTCCTTCCCACTCCCCCTCCCCGTCCCTCTTCAGGGACCCTTCTCACGAGCATCTCCTTATACAGGAGGTTTTTGGGCTCCTCTCTATGGGAGCCATTGAGGAGGTTCCCCCAGAGTTAAGGGGCAAGGGGTTTTACTCCCACTACTTCCTGATCCCCAAAGCAAAAGGAGGCCTGCGACCCATCTTAGACTTATGCGGACTCAACAAATTCATAGTAAAGTTGAAGTTCCGCATGGTCTCCTTGGGGACCATCATCCCTTCCCTGGATCCTGGAGACTGGTACGACGCCCTCAACATGAAGAACACTTATTTTCATATAGCGATCTACCCCCCTCACAGGTGCTTTCTTCGTTTCGTGGTAAACAAGGTACACTACCAATTTGCCGTTCTTCCCTTCGGGCTGTCTGCGGCTCCGAGAATGTTCACCAAGTGTATGACCGTCGTGGCAGCATACCTTCATCAACAAAAGATACAGGTGTTCCTGTATCTAGACGACTGGCTGGTCCGCGGCCGTACCAGGGAACAAGTTCGGGCGCATGTCCGCATAATACTGCAAACATTCCACGACTTAGGCATTCTACTCAACAAAGAGAAGTCCACTCTGGAGCCAACCCAGAGAATAGAGTTTATCAGGGCAGTCCTAGACTCCACACTCGCCCGAGCTCTTCTGCCGGACACTCGGTTTCACGCCATCACGAACATCATCCATGGACTCCAGGCCTTCCCGATTACCACTGTAAGGACGTGTCTCGGTCTGTTGGGTCACATGGCCTCTTGCACGTACGTAACCAGACATGCCAGACTTCGGCTTCGTCAGCTTCAGGCCTGGGTCTCGTCGGTGTACCGCCCTTCTCGGGACAGCCTGAACATGGTGGTCACGATTCCAAGCTCGGTCTTGACCTCTCTCAACTGGTGGCTGGATCACAAGGCGGTTTGTGCAGGAATGCCATTTCACGCCCCACAGCCCTCTATACACCTAGTCACGGATACCTCATCTCTAGGTTGGGGGGCTCACCTCGGGGAGCACCATACCCAAGGCCTGTGGACCGCATCCCAACTAGCTCTGCACATCAATGTTCAGGAGCGCCTAGCCTGTCAGGCATTTCTCGATCTCCTACATGGCCGCTGCGTGTTAGTCCTCACAGACAACACCTCGGCCATGTTCTACATCAACAAGCAAGGAGGAGCCCGGTCGTCTCCCCTATGCCAAGAGGCCATTCGCCTGTGGGAGTTCTGCATTGCCAACTCGATACATCTCATGGCATCGTTCCTCCCTG